TCTAAGCTTCACTATCTGAACGTTTCTTCTTGACACTCTTGTTGATGTCAGCCACACAGAAGACAGTTGACGGCCCTTCAATGAAAGACTGGCGAGGTGGCCGTGGAGCAGGGCAAAACATCATTCCTAGTTCTACTGGTGCTGCTAAGGTATTATTTGTCGGTTCAATGTACAAACAACATTTTTGCCCACAATTTCTGCTGATTCTTTTAACATTTAACTTAATATCTAAAATGTTTTAGGCTGTTGGGAAAGTTCTTCCAGAACTCAATGGGAAGCTCACTGGAATGGCTTTCCGTGTTCCGACTCCTAATGTGTCTGTCGTGGACTTAACCTGTCGGCTTGACAAGAGTGCTTCTTATGAGGACGTAAAAGCAGCCATAAAGTATTTGACCCTAATTTCCAATTTCTAACTAATGAAGTAACCTTTTCACCTTTTTGTGTGTTTAATTAAGAGGTCATTCATGAGATTCTTATGCTGTTTTTTTCAGGCATGCAGCAGAGGGTCCTCTGAAAGGCATTCTTGGGTACACAGACGAAGATGTGGTGTCCAATGATTTTGTTGGCGACTCCAGGTACATATTATCCCTATGCTCTACGCTTGATTAAATGCACCAACATATTTCAAAATACATTACTTTGATCATACCCATAAATCTCCATTGTTATAAGGTTTTTATTGGTGAAACTGACTTAGGTTATATCGTTCTGGTATAAGCTATTATGCTGAATCTTCCAAATGCACATTGCTTTTATGCTGAATCTTCAGTGAATTATTATTATTATTATTTTTTCTTGTATTATTATGATTATTGTTTTTGTAGTTTGGATTTTGCTATATTTATTCAACCATCAAATGTAACGCGGTGTCATTGTTATGGATGTGTTGTTTTCATTTCACATTAACTTGGACTTGTGTATCACTTGTAAGTTTTTTTGGGCATTTTCTTATAGGTCAAGCATATTTGATGCCAAGGCTGGAATTGGTCTTAGCAAGTCCTTCATGAAACTCGTTTCGTGGTATGACAATGAGTGGGGCTACAGGTACTCTCTCTCTCTCTCTCTCTCTCTCTCTCTCTCTCCGTGTGCGCGCATTGCATACGACTTCATAAATCGAATGCCTGATTTACTTGTTCCTGTTGCAGTAACCGTGTGCTGGACCTGATTGAGCATATGGCTTTTGTAGCAGCTACTAAGTAAAAAGCAGCTATCGAGTATTTTTTGTTTGAGTAAAGGAGTAGATGCAGAACTATTAGTTGCCTGTCGTGCGCAAGTTAGAATACTCTAATCTCGTACTATATCGAGATATGGAAGATATGAAACGGTGTCAAAATAATCTAAGACTATGAGAACTTAGAAAAAAACATGTTTTGGATTTGATCATTTGATGTATTTGGAGGATAACTTAACATGCCAATGTGCTGTTGTACCAATTTATGATTGAATGATGTTTTGCCTCTAGATTTATGTTCCCATAGGTTCAGTTCATGCTATACAAGGTTCATGTTATTCAAGTATTGTGCAACTGATTTGTTTTTTTTGCTCTCAAGCCTTTTCTTCTGAAAAAATCACACCAATTTTCCTTTTTAAGCAAGCTGTAGAAGTGGGTCCCTCCATTTTATTGCCATTTATAGACAGTTAGTTTAATTTTGTAATGAATATTTATTTTTTTATTAGATAAAAACTGCTTTGATTTTGGTGGAATTGCTCAACGCAGGATTTCATACGACTTTTCTTAACAGTCTTGGAAATGATTTTTTTTTTAGAACGATAGGAATCACATATATTCACAACAAAAACAAGACTAGAGAACAACTGCTCAGCTAGTAATATGGCCAACGGGCGAATAAATCAGCAAAGCAGCTGACTCTAGTTGGGAGGACTACACGTACATACGGGCGAATAAATCAGCAAAGCAGCTGACTCTAGTTGGGAGGACTACACGTACATACGGCAACTTAGAACCAACCTACCCCACAAAAACTTTTCTGCCTTTTGAGATTTCTCTGAAATTTATATTTTTGTGGCATGAGCGGTATAGTTCCTTATTCCACTAACTGTCAAACAGGAAGTTGAAATCCACAACTTTAAATTAAACCTCTAAACAAAGAGAAAATTCAAATAATATTAATCACCAACATCTACGTGGTGGTGGTGATGTTATGTCACCCAACTTTAGAATGGTACAAGTTCACCCTATGATAACAAGAAGGTAAATCATAATCATATCACTTGTTCAAATAAATAATTATCTGTAAAACAAAGTACATACTTTTGCATTAAATACAACATTAACATGAGCTAATCCTAGCTACTTTATCTTATAATTCAAAGTTAATTCAAATGGGAAACAACATTCAATTGAAGTTCATCATTTCCTTCTCATTCATCCTATCAGGGCGTATAAATACCTAAAATCCTGGTTGAATAAGTCAATGTTTGTGTAAGTGAAGGCATCTCAGATGGGGAATGCGAAGGTTTTCGACGTCGTTGTTTCTGTCAGAAGGAGTGTTGATGGTGAAGCTGATCTGTTGTAACTCGAGAATATACACATTTGTGACATGTAACAACGATGATGAAATTAAATAAATAAAGTTATATATATATAAATATAAACTATTAGGGCATGTTTGTTTATAGAAATTTTTGGTTTTGTTTGGATTTTTTTGGTTTAGTTTGGTTAATTTTGAAAAAGTGGTATGGTTATTTGTTAGTGGATATATTAAAATAATATTTAAAATAAAATAATTAAAATTGATTTAATGTAAAAGTAGAAGAAAGATGATTTGATGTGATGATTAGTTAAAATAATGTGAGTTGATGAATAGAAAATTAAGGTTTGTATGAATGATTGATTAATATTATTTAATTATATTAAAAATATTGATAATAGTGGAGTTGAGTTAAAGTTGAGATAAAAAAAGTGGTTAAGTCCAAAATAACATAAAATGATATGAGTGATGCAATATTATTGTTAAATAATATTCTAAAGCTCCGTTTTCTGATTTCAAGGAATCTTCAACACAGTTGTTAGACAAACAATTTAATGAACTATACTCAGTTTAGCTGTGCGAAGTTCATGGAATATAAGGAACATGACTTGACAAAAGTAAAGATCGCATTGAAAATCACCAAAATGCAAAATCAGTATATGTTTAACTATTACCACAATATATAATATGATATACCATAGCAGCATAATTAGGTTGCTTACGACCTAAAAGAACCAAGTGGAGGTCGGTTAAACAGCAAGGATGTCAGAGGTCGTGGAAACACCAGGTCGACAATGACTTCACATGAAAAATAGCACAACAACAGGTCAAGCTAGGGCTCTCGTCTAGCCTGATGAAAACTCGACTTGGAGACAAAGAGATCACTGTACGATTTAAAAAATAAACTTACTCGTTGAAGGGCAGAGCAACCTAATTTAGGGGAAGCCAAACTAGTAGCACGATTATGCTACCTATGAGGTAGGCTAATGTAGATACACTACATAATAGATAAGAAGGAATATAATTAAGATAAGAAGGACATGTGGATAGGACCACACGTGCTAACAGAATTTGGCAGTTTTGGCACTCGGGCACTCCAGTCAGATAGTCTTGGGTAGTAAGGTAACACGTCTACATAAATGGGTGAAATATGATCATCACAACTCTACACACTCGGATATACATACAATTCATATAGTTCATCATCTTCTTCATCATTGTTTACTAACTTAAGCATTGGAACTTCTACGCCGAGATAACCCGACTTTGTTTTGTAGGTCATTCACCGAAGTATATTTTCTTCAATGAGACTCGAATATGGTAATAGTTATTTGAAGTTTCCAAATATATATAATAGCACGTTTTTCATTTTAGTGAAATTAAACAATATTGCAAAAGAAATATATAATCTCCTACAGTAAAACCTCTATATATTAATAATGTTGGGACCGAGGATTTTATTAATTTAGAGACATTATTATATCGATAAATTAATAATTTATTAATTAAAGAGGTTTTAACGTACATACATAGTTGACCTTCAAAGTTCTAATTTTTTTAAATAACTTTAAGTATACATGCATAGTTATTGATGAAAATTAAGTTAAAATACAAATGTACTAGTAGGATTCCATGAACACAAACTCACGTGGAAGTTGGAATGACTTGTTTAAATTAATTGGTTTCGAAAAATACAAAAATATAATTTAGTAGATTCATGAGAAGACAACGCCACAACTATTGGGTGCAGTAAGGAGATTTAAAGATGAGATCAACATAGATTTGAAGTTCAAGAAAAGCACGTTACAGTAGATTCTTATTTTATTAAGTTGTCTTAAGAATATTCAAGTGCATCATATATATATATATATACATGGATTATTTTCAATCTTATAATTTTATTGATTGTGTCCCAATATATATTAATTGCATCACATATACACTAAGATTATTCAAGTTCAAGAAAAGCACGTCGGGACCAATATATATACACTGAGATCTCAATAAAATTATTATCTTATAATTTTATTAATTGGGTCCCAAATTTTTACTGGTCCCAACTTGGGACTGGACAAATTACTAGTTTTAGCGAAATTATTAATTTATCGAGTATTAATTTAACGAGGTTTTACTGTATTAAACAAATATTAATTTATTTATACGCCCACTATGAGTTTTAATTTAAATATATTATACATTAAATATCATTAACTCATGGTGTTATATGTAAAAAGTTTTATAAAATGGCCAATAAGTATTAAATTTTATATATAATTAAAATATTTATTTATTTAGTTATGCAAAAAGCATAAAAGAATTTTGGACTATTTATAAATTATTTTCTTTAATCATACGTAGAAGTTATGTTGTGTGTTCTTGTTAACAATATATAGTTTATCAAAAAATAATGAAAATTTAAATATTAATTAAATTTTATATAAAATAATAATAGTTTTCAATATTTAAATCTACGGAAAAACAGTATAAGAACCTAATGCATTTTACATTATTTCAAACTTTGGCTTTCCAATAAACATAGTAATTGTTTTATATTATTTTATAAATTAAAATTAATTTATGATTGATTTATGATAATTTAGACATAATTATAGGTACATTTCAATTTAGTTATCTCATTAGATTTATACAATATTAGATATTCTTTTACAAAAGATTTATTCATTTAATAAAAAACACAAAATTTCCAAATAAACTACTTATATTTGTTAGGAATATTTTAATATATCTATTTATAAACTTTTTTTCTCTTAATATATAGATATGAATAAACCTCTCATTTAATTTGTTTTACATATCTAAAAAATACTATCAAAACAATCTCAATTTATTCAAATGCCAAACATTTTCACATATATTATATAGACTATATAATTAGCAAACTTAGCTGATAAGTTAGTTAATAATTTATAATTGAATTTTGAGCTTATAATTGATCCGAAAAGCTAACTGATATGATAGAAATATTTTGTAAAACTAGTTGATAAACCAACTGAAATAAAATTTTTAACAAACTTATTTGAAAAGCGTCTACCCAAGAAATTAAACTTATGAGGGATGTTCGAACTTTTTCAGAAAAGCTCGTTCTATAAAATCAAACTTAATTAAATACAAGAATCTTACAAACTAACCTAATAACTTAAAAGCTAACTTTTGGTGTTTACGAGACACACTCATAGTCTCCAACTTGTCATTATCAATTTTAATTGTGCTTTGTAAACATAATTAATGATTTTTCCACATGCAAGCATTAATAGAGTGCCAAAGTTTTCAATTCGACTTAATAGGCTGTTCAAATTCCGCAACTCATGCAGTGATGCTTGTAATTATTAATTGATTATCGCTTGTAGCTATCTCAGAACGAGTCTTCGTGAGTGTACAAAATCAATTTTTGTGACAAATTGTCATTTCTCTTTATTTACTTTACAATTGGAAACGATTATGTATATAGAGTAAACTTTTCACAATGTCAAATAAAGATTAGCAAGAATCGAAACCTAAGAAATATTTTGAGAAGGAATTATTTTAATATTCCTGCAATAAAGGTAATAAAAAAAAAAAGATAAACTATAACGCAGGCCAAAAGCTGTTATATATATATATATGGGTTTTACATTGTTGTCATGTATCCCTTGAGAAATTAATCTGAAGATAGTTGATTGAAAGCGATAAGAATGGAAGCTACCAGAAGTCATTTGGTTGGCCTTTTGCTGCTCATCTTATTGTTTGCTCCCCGTGAGTTTTTAAATCTTTTTTGTTTTTCATCTTAATGTCTTTCTAGAAATCACATCATCATGTTGTGAAAAAACATAGTAATTGTCTTTTTTATGTAATGCTTGATTTTATTTTATTTTTCTCAAACTATTCTCTTTCTTTGTGTACATCAATGGACCTAGGTGTCTTATAATTATTTAAGTTGTATTCGAAAATTTTGAGTTTAACATATATATTAACGATGATAATGTAATTAGTATTTAAAAAAATTAGTTTGTCGACAGAATTCATATACCTAAACGCGTAACTAATTTATTATATGGGCAGAAGAGAACTTGGCAGACTATTGCTGGGCCAATGTTACAACTGGAAGCTGTTCTTATGGTACCGAGTGCAACAAAACATG